GCATGTCCCCAGACCTGCAGGCAGCCCCCCAAGCCCCCCCCTTCTTACCCCCATTGCTCCCCAAGCCCATCCCTCTCCTCCCCATGAGGGTCCCACACCCCCAGCACTCACCCCGAGGACTTCTCCGGCTTGGGGGGCAGCGACAGGGGTTTCCCACTCAAGCCGGGAATCTTGCAGGACTTGGAGCGCTGCACGTGGGGGTCCTTGGGGGGGGTGACCTTGCTGTCCCCTGGTGCTGCCCCCTCCTCAGCTGAGCGGTTTCGGCCCCTCAGCTTGGCCTGGGTGCAACAGAGTGAACTCAGGAGGGGCACACTGTGCTCTGTCCCCTCCAAATCCTCCCGCCGCCTCCTCCCCAGCGCTCACTGCCCTTGGCCAACCCCCCAGTCCCAACCTGCCTCAGTTTCCCCTCCCCTTGTTCAAACAGCCCCTCCCTCTCACCCAGCCGGAAGCCATCACCCCCCTCTGGGAGTCCCAGGGGTCCCCACCTTGAGGGCAGAGGTGCTGAGGCCAGGGAAGAGCGGCACCTTCACCCCCTTGCTCGAGAGGGACGCCCGCACACGCCGGCTCTTGGGTTCCTCCACTGTCTCCTCGTCGGAGGACGCTGCCGGGGCTGGCCGGGGCTCTGCGGGGAGGACGGGGGGGACAGCGTCACCGTGAGACACCTCTGCCAGGGTCCCTGTGGTCCCTCACAGCTGAACTCCCTGGTCAGGGCCCCAGGGGCTCTCACCTGTGGAGTCACGGAAGATCCAGCTGTCCCCCTCGGCGGTGGCCCCGGGACGGAGGGCTGGGGCCCGGTGCCGGCGCTTGCGGCCCAGGTTGGCCTTGGTGCGGTACACGCTGCTGTCCAGGACCTCCGTGTCCTGTGGGGGCCATGGGGACAGGTCAGTGACCAACCCTCCCCAAAGCCAGCATGACCACAGACCCCCACAACAGCACAGGGACCCCAAATCCACAGCCTGTCCTTTGGGGGAGGCTGGAGGTGGAGGGTAAAGCCCCCAGCCCCAGAGCGGGACAGGAACCCCAGGGCCGTACGAGGGGTCTAGAGGCTGCCCCCTCCCCACTCACCTCCAGGAAGGTGAATTCCTGCCCGGCCTGGTCCGTGGGTCCCTCGGACTGAGCCGGGGCCAGGGAGAGCCGCTTCTCCTCCCGGCTCGGTGGTCTCTGCCCATCCGGGTGGTCCGAGGGGGCATCTTCACTCCCCATGTCGGGCAGAGTCCCGCCGGCAGCCTCCGGCAGCAGATGGCAGGCCCCAGGGCTCGGCGGGACAGTGGTCAGCTCAGGGAGGTTCCTCTCCTCCTCGGTGGGGTTGGGGGGCTCACTCCAGGGGGATGCTGCAGCAGGGGGGGCAGCCGGAGCACCACCCGTGGGTGGGCTGGGGTCCAAGAGAGGGACGCTTCTGTTCAGGAAGACAAGAGGAGACCCCAGAGTTCCTCCAGCTCCAGCCAAAGCAAGCCCCTCCCCTGCCCTGACTCACGTGTCCAGGACTCCCCCACCACCTCTCCTGGGATGTCACACAAGGGGATGGCACCTCTGGGAGGTCTCCCCAAAGGCTGGGGCAGCATCTGGGGTCTGGGAGGGCAAGAAGGCTGCCAGACTCACAGGGGACTCAGGCCAACTCTCTCCCTTGGGGCAGAAAAAGGGGACAGACCCCCCAGGAGGGTCCTCAGCCCCAGGCAGTGGCCAAGAGGGCACTGGGCAACTAAGAGGCCCCAAGGAGGAGGAGGATCAGGGCCAGCAGGGCGCGGGATGGCACAGGCAGCAGCCTGGGGGCTCTCTGTAGCCCCACGCAAGGCAACCAGGCTGGGCCCTCCCCAAGCCCCGTGGGGCTTTCGCTTGCCTCCTCCTGGGATCCTTATTTTCAGGCAGCTTGAGGGAATTTATCATTTTGGGAATTCCCAGCATTCTAAGTTTGACTGAAATCAGGGTTCCCACACCCTGGCAAAGCAATAAGGGCATGGGGCTGATTCTGCTGCTTTTTTGGGGGGTGAGGGAGCACCAGCACCCCCAGATTTGGTACACAGCTCCCCACATCAGAGGGAGATGTGCACAAGAAGCCCCAAAGGCATCATCCCCTCCGAGATCAGCTCAAGGCAGTAGATCCTGCTGGGACCAGTCCCTCAAAAACCTCCCGCTCCAGCGGAGGGCTGGAGGCTGCAGGGGAAGCGGCTGGGGAGGGGGGGCTCTGGCAACCGGGATCCAGAGCAGCAGCTCCTCCAGCCACGTGTGAGCCACAGTAGGACGCCAGCACGAGGCCCATGGCGTCGGAGGTCCCTGCCACAGGACGGTGCAGGCACCCAAGGGAGATGGATCCCTCCTGGGGGTCCCACTGCCCCCACCACCACTCTCCTTACCTGTCCGTGGAGCCAGCGTCGTCCCCCGGGCTCTGCTCCTCAGCGCTGAAGTCCCGGCTGCGGGCGGCGCAGCGGGCGCCAAAGGCACTGGCCCACTCCTGGTGCGTGGCCTCGGTGTCGCACAGCTCCACGCTCCAGCCAGACACCTCCGCGTCCTGGCTCCAGCCCCGCTCCTCCAGCCCGGCCTCCCGGGGCTGGGCAGAGCTGCTCGGGGCAGGCAGGTGGCCCAGGCCCTCACCCCAGGCCGTCTGGCCCGGTCTGACCCTACTGGCATCACCGGTGCCCACACAGCTGGCATCATCCCTCTCCCAGTCCCCGCGGGGCTCCTGCTGCCCCCCGGAACTCGTTCCTCCAGCCCAGGACATCAAGCCATCCGATGAGCCTCCGGCGCTGCAGGGATCCGGCACTCGCTCTGTCCCAATGATGCCAAATTGGTTGTGGCACTCGGCTCCCCCAAGCTCTTCAGCCCAGCCCTTGCTGTGGGTGGCACTGTGCTCCTGCTGGCCAGCGCTGACCCAGCCGGGCTCCTGCACCGGGGCATCAGGGGCACCAGAGCCGGGCAAGTCACCCTTCCTGACACCAAACACATCAACCAGCTCCTTTTGGCCAACGTTGCACTCACCAGCCCAGCTCAGCCGGGCAGGACTGAACTCTTCGTCTTCCTTTGTGGTGTTTGCAGAGCTGAACTCGCTGGCCCAGGCCGGTCTGCTGGGGCTGAACTCCCCATCCTGGCTCTCCATGTCCCTGGTGCCGTAGCTGTCCTCCCACATGGGTCTGCTGGGCTCGAAGCCGCTGTCCTGGCTCTCCATCTCCCTGCTGCTGCACTCGCTGGCCACGGCCGCTCTGCTGGGGCTCAACTCCTGCTCCTGGCTCTCCACCTCCCTGCTGCTGTACTCACTGGCCCAGGGCAATCTGCTGGGGCTGAACTCCTCGTCCTGGGTCTCCACGTCCCTGGTGCTGCGCTCATCATCCCATCCCGATCTCCTGGGCTGGAACTCCCCATCCCGGGTCTCCACATCCCTGGTGCTGCACTCGCTGGCTACGGCCTGTCTGCTGGGGCTGAATTCCCTGTCCTGGCTCTCTGTGTCCCCGCTGCGGTACCCACTATCCCAGGCTGCTCTGCTGAGGCTGAACTCCTGGTCTTGTGTCTCCACGTCCCTGGTGCTGCGCTCATCATCCCATGTCGATCTCCTGGGTTGGAACTCCCCATCCTGGGTCTCCATGGCCCTGGTGCTGCGTTCATCATCCCATGTCGATCTCCTGGGTTGGAACTCCTCATCCTGGGTCTCCATGTCCCTGGTGCTGCGTTCATCATCCCATGCCGATCTCCTGGGTTTGAATTCCTCATCCTGGCTCTCCACATCCCTGCTGTGGTACTCACTATCCCAGGCCGTTCTGCTGGGGCTGAACTCCCGGTCCTGGGTCTCCGTGTCCCTGCTGCTGTATTTGCTGTCCCAGGCGGGTCTGCTGGGGCTGAACTCCCTGTCCTGCCTCTCCACATCCCTGGTGTTGTGTTCGTCATCCCAGGTTGATCTGCTGGGCTTGAACTCCTTCTCCTGGGTCTTCATCTCTCTGCTGCTGTATCCATCATCCCAAGCTGATCTCCTGGGCTGGAACTCCCTGTCCTGGCTCTCTACATCCCTGGAGGTGTATCCACCAGCCTCAGCCGGCCTGCTGGGGCTGAACTCCCTGTCCTGGCTCTCCATGTCTCGGGTGCTGTACTCACCAGTCCAAGCTGGTCTGCTGGGGCTAAACTCCCTGTCCTGGCTCTCCATGTCCCTGCTGCTGTATTTGCTGTCCCAGGCTGGCCTGCTGGGGCTGAACTCCTTCTCTGGGGTCCCAGTGTCCCCAGTGCTGGATCTGCCAGCCCAGCCCAGCGTAAAATCCTCTTCCTTGCTCTCAGCATCCCTGCTGCTGTATTTGCTGGTCCAGTCTGGGGTGAGCTCCCTGTCCTTTGCCTCTGCCTCGCCGGTGCTGTATCGACCAGCCCAGGCAGGAGCGATGTCCCCGTCCCGGCTCTCCGTGTCCCCAGAGCTGTACCTGCCAGCCCAGCTGGGCTGCCTGGAGCTTGTCTGCTCCTGCTGCTGCTGGCCGTGTCCCACGCCGTAGCTGCGGGCTGCTCCTGCTGGCCGTGTCCCACGCCGTAGCTGCGGCTCCAGTTGGCCTTCCCAGAGCCCATCTCCTCCCTGCTGCCTGCACTCTCCAAGCCGTAGCCCGTGCCCCACTGGGGCTGGCCGGCACCGAAGGCTTGATCCCGCAGGCAGCTTTCCTGGGTGCCACGGGACTCGGGCCAGTCGCTGCAGCCCCGTCTCGCTTCCCCCATCAGCTCCGTCCCTTTGTAACCGCTGCCCCAGTCCTTCCCTGCGCTGCCGAAGGGGCTGTCCTGCCGGTCCCCATCCCTGACGCTGCGGCTGCTGTCCCAGCTCAATTTGGTCCCAAATTCCCGGTCCTGCACCGTGTCACCAGGCCAGTCTCTCTCCCTGACCACAGCCTCTGGGGTCCAGTCGAAGGTGCGGGGCTGCTGAGGTCTGCCAATGCCGAACTCACTGCACAGGTCCTTCCGCGACCAGCCGAGCAGGTCCTGGGGAGAGGGGGAGGAGCAGGAGAGGGGGCTGAAGGGGGTGGCAGCCCCGGGTCACACAGCAGAGAGGAGAGTTGGAGAGGAACAGAGAGGGGAAAATACCCTAGGACACAGCAGAGCACAAGGTCCCATCGCGAGGGGAGGCCAGACCCTGCCCCCTGCCTCCCTCACCCGAACCCTTTGGCACCCACCAACACCACAGCCTGGCACCAACCCTTCCCCCCGCACCCCCTTACCTGCGGAGAGCTGTGGGCCCCGGGCGAGGACAGCAGCTCCTCCAGCCAGCCCGGGTCACCATGGGGCTGGGGGTCCCTCGGGGGTGCCTCGGCCTGGCCCGGCCCACCAGGACCCTGTGGGCTGGCGGGGCAGTTGTCCACGGTTCCCGGACGCGGCAGGGTGGTCTCGGTGAAGGGCCCGGGCTGCACAGGGTGCTCAGGCTCGGCTGGGTCCTGGTCGGGCTCCACCACACAGAGAGGGAAGCAGGGAACAGTGGCATCCTGCTCTGTCTCCCCTTCCTCCTCCTCCTCCTCCTCCGCCGAGCCCTCGGCCTCTCGCTGGGGCATAGGCCCCCCTGGACACGGAGCCCCCTCCGCTCCCCGGCTGCCAGGCCCTTGGGACCCACTGTCCCCCCAGGAACATGGGGGGCCTGGGACCAGGTCCTCCCCATCTGACTCCCCCTCTGCAGAGAGCCCCGAGTCGGCCGTCTCCTGGATGGGGGACTGGGGGGGAGACGCCAGCCGCCGTGCCCCCCGCGAGGGGAACGTCCACTCAAAGGACTGGGAGAGGCTCCAGCCGGACTCACTGCCCAGAGACGGCTCTGGCGGTGGGTCCCCAGAACAGGGCAGGGCGCTCAGCGAGCCCCCCAGCTCCCCCATGCCCTGCCCCACCGCCGGGGGCTGCAGCACCCCCTCCGAAGAGCGCCGGAGCCCGGAGTCCCTGCAAGAGCGAGGGGGGCTGAAATCAGGACCCTCAGAGGACTGTGGGGACACTGGGGAGTCATCGGGTCCCTCTGGGGAGCCCGGGGGACGAGAGGCTTTGGCAGAGGGCTCAGGGGGTGGGCTGGGGGAACCCGGGTACTCAGTGGCAGCCTCAGGAGAGCCGGGGGGACAGGTGACTCTGGGGGGCAGTTCTGGAGTGCTGGGGGGGCTGGCAGTATCGGGGGATCCCTCTCCAGGAGTGTGGGGGGAGCCGGGGGAACGGGAGACGCTGAGCCGGGGTTCGGCTGCAGAGGAGGAGGGAGCACCCGGGGCCTGGATGGAGGCGGCCGAGACCTCGGCTGGAGGCTGAGGGGGAGATTCGGGGGAGCCGGGGGCCCGGGTGGGGGACCCAGGGGCCGGGAGCTCTGGGGGGGCATCAGGAGAGCCGGGGGCCGAGGCTGAAGGCTGGAAAGGAGCTCCTGGGGCTGGGCAGGTGGGGGGCCTTGGAGACCCAGGGGGTCCGAGGGTACCCGGCTGGAGAGAGGAAAGCTGTGGAAAGAGCCGGAGGTGGGGAGAATGTCATGGCACCCAAGAGGAACCCCCCAGGTGTCACCCACCCCCAAATCACAGCCCCCCTCCCCAAGTCCAAGGCAGCCTGGGTGGCTCCCAGTGGCCCCCAGCTGAGTGCCCCCCTCGAACGCCCACCCTCCAGCGGCACAGAGACAGATGGAGAGGAAGAAATGAAGCAGGAGGAAGTAAAAACACCCTCAGCCCGGATCCTGCACCCCTCCATGGGGCTGGGCACCCCCTTGGCAGTGACACCCTGCCAGCTGCCACCCCGGTGTCCCCA